AAAAAAAAAAAAAAGAAGAAAAAACCTTTTTGCCTCTTATTGAATTCCAATTATAAGCGGTATAGAATAGTTGCTTTCTTTTTTTTGAACCTAATTTGTAATTTTTTGTTTTATATTGTAATAAACAGTACGGTATTTAATAGTCAGTAATGCTTTGCAAAACCAACTAACGTTATAAAACATTGGTGTTCTTTTCGTTTATTTTCTGTTTTAAACTATACATTTAGAAGTAAAAGCCGAAAAAGGGCAGAATTTGACAGTCAAGTTTTACCGAGAACGGTGAATAACGATCTGATAAGGATTTTTTATAGAGGCCTCTAATTTTAGGGCCGCTAAAGTTTGTTTTTTAAGCTCCACAAGACAGCTGTATCGATGTCACAAAATTATATAGACTGTACATACGTACAGTGTTACATTTTGTTCCAGTAATAGTAATTTAGCAGAAATTTCCTCGTAAAGCCACTGTAGAACCGTTCTGGTTGTAGTGGAAACGGAAAATTTTCAAAAATTGTTTGCAAAAAGGTTCCAACAAAAAACCTAGGAACAGTTCCATAGATGCATATGCGTAATAATTAAACGCAGAAGTTTTTAGTCAACTTAAATTTTAACCACTAATTTAGTAAGGCTTTTGAACTCAACCACAATTTCGTACCCTTCATATTTCAAATTTTATATATACAAAGTTTCATTTAATTTATAGCTATTAGTCACAAAATAACTTTTGGCAGTTTATTAACAGATAAAAATTTGTATATTTTTATCAGCAAGTTTCCACTGGTGCCTTGTTCAATTTCACGTATGCAAAAATGAAAAAAAAAAAAGAATTTTTTTTTATCTCTTTAATTATCAGTGTACTCTAGAAAGTAGTTATACCTGAAATAATGTTACATGTTTAAATTGTAGTCTGGGGTAAAAAATTTTACTGCACACCAAGAGAAAACGCTGTTTGTTGTGCCCACTAAGACTTTAAAAGATTTTAGGTATCCGTTTATAACAAACTTGAAGCAATTATGACTGATTAAGTGAAAATACGAAGAAATGCTGCTCATAGTTTACTTTACCCTATGTGATTTAGCATTTTTAATGATTATCTTGTAA